GCAGGCAGGCACGCACGCAAGCAAGCAAGCAAGCAAGCAAGCAGGCAAGCCAGCAAGCAACCAAGCAAGCGAGCAAGCAAGCGAGCAAGCAAGCGAGCAAGCAAGCGAGCAAGCAAGCAACCCTTCAAGCAAGCAACCAAGCAAAGGCCAGCGCTAGCTTCTAGGCCAACCTCACCAGCATTACCAGAAGCACTAGTTCCCAGCATGTGTATGCAGAATGAAGATACCAACACATTTTCAATTATAAGCCTGATTGAGGGCTGCGTGCTGTTGGTGCGTTACAGGGTGCATCCAAGCATTGAACAGGTGGTAACCAAGAGGACCTCAGAACAACAACAAGTCGCGGATGCACTGCAACAGTTTCGCAAAGGTGCTTATGATCCTGAGGATGCATGCCTGAATTCTGCCTTGCACCTTTCCCAAAACTGTGAAAGCCGCTTGCTTTCTGCATGGACACGTCTTTGGCCAAAGATGGACGCAGAACCTTGACTCCAAAGGCTGGAGTCATGAGCGGACAGGTTATTGTATTGTTTTCTTATCTTAATGTGGATGATACGGATATGAGCCGAGATACGGATGGCCTGGGATTCGAGGATATATTATCTGAATAACAATACAATAACAATATCTACATGAGCCGAGATACGGATGATGCAAGATGGGAGTGCGGGGAATGCGTACAGTGGCTTGTATCGAGTACCGCCTTTTGGCAGTTGAGGTCGCCTTCAATGGCGCCGGCAGAGAGGCGGGGAGACCAGGTTGCAGTGACGGCCTATGGGATTGACGGTGTATTTTGTTTGGTCCGTGCTTTTTGGTTCCGGATTTGGGCGTAACCACTACGGACTGGCCTGCTGGCCATTTCATCTGGGCACGACCAAAACCGGGTGACCCCCGTTCTGGTCGCGTTTGCAGTTCGACCGCAGATCAAACATTAAGAGGGGCCGTAATTTGGAAGCCATGTTTACATTTTGTCTCGGAACTGACAACCTAACACCGTCGCAGTTGGAAGTCCTGCGGCACCTCAACGGCAGCCCAAACGCCTGGCTGCCTAGAATGGGAAGCAGTTTAACTAAGCTGGATGACGTCCCGTTTTGAGAGGAGTTCCTTTTTGGCTTGTCTTGAGAATATGCTGAGTCGCGAAGCTTGCTGAGGTTGTACACTTGCTCGGTGTCTTTGAAGGTTCTGACCCAGAGGCCAGTCTTTGTGTTGGAAGCCGGCGGCTTGATGCTGTGCTTTGCGAGCTTGTTCAATCCCAGCCAGCCAAGCTTGCAAAGCTCATGGGCATGAACAGCACATGAATGGAGGCAAAGACTCTGAACTTCGTATTGGAGTACATTGAGGTGGGTGGGAGCAGAGCAACGCAGTACAGAGCGAGATGAGTCGGGTACATTGTGACATGGGGCCCCACTTCTAACTCAGCGTTTGGGGTGTTCAGGGCCTTTGTCGCCCTGCCAACTTGCGCTGAAAGACATGCGAGGACACGCTGGGGCGGATCATCAAGCACCACCGTCAGCAGGCCATTTTGCAAGTGGAAATCCACGCCACGCTCGTGGTGAATCTGCTCAGGGGACGGAAATGGACTTCCAATTTGTGCGTCGGGGCGCCCCAAAAGTTGGACCGCCGCCTGAAGTGATCCACCCGAGGCATCTACTTGTACCAGCTCTTGAGAGGGCTCGGCAGCTTGTGCCGGGAGGGCGTGGTGCGCACAGGATCAGCGCAAAGGGGCTCAAGAGTGATTGCGGTGGCATTGCAGGTACATCGAGATATCAAGCCGGCCAATTTGCTTGTGGATCCCACTAGCTACACGCTGAAGGCACAGGGAGCCGAGAGCTGGTGAATCCACGCAGCGGCCTGTGAATAGGAAGAAGCGTGAGGACCTCCTACCCTCCCGAATGGCTCTCAGAACCCTTCTAAGAAACCCTTCTATGAACCCCCCTTTCAGGAGAACCTTTCGGGGAGGAGGGGTTGTAGGTTTCCTCCCACAAAGCAGGTCTGCGACTTTGGCACTGCCAAATGGGTATCCAACAACGAGGCTCGCAGCAAGTTCTGGCCCGGATTTTCATCATCTCTGGACTGCAGGTTTCTCAGGCCTACGTTTGCTCGCGCAACTTGGTCGCAGCGAACCATGTCCATGGCCCGCAACAAATTCAGCATGGCACAAGTGGCAGTCAGCAGGTTCAGCATCGCTTTGTGGAGGTTTCTACCGCGCCCCCGAGCTCATTCTGAGCGCGCGGGATCAGTGCCCCTGTCCTGTGCACGAAGCAAACATGGCAATCCCCCTTACCAGAACCGAATCGAGATGTTCATTTGACAAATGCCTGCTTTGGGTTGAGTCACATTCACCCTGCCAGCACAACCGCGGTGGACATGTGGGCGGCGGGCTGCGTTCTGGGAGAGATGCTCCTTCATCAGCCGCTCTTCGCTGGCAAGGCTGGCAGTTGGACGCAACTGTTGCCATGTTTTTCTCGTGCGCTGCAACATGTATATTCTTGCTGATAGCGGCCACACCCGTGCGTTTGATAGCCCGGTTGTAAAGCATCCTTGTCAGGATGGCATTGACCAGCTGTTCAAGATCATGGAGGCCGAGACTCGGCCCGACGGCTTCCTGAATGTGGAATCTGCGCCAGATCTTGGGCACGCCCACGCCGCAGCAACTCTACTCGATGAATCCTTTCTACGACGCAGCAGGCGCTCCATGGTCTCATGTCACTCAGAGGCTCTGTTGGCTTCTTTTTCAACGGGAATACGCAGGGCAGTTCATGCTCTGGTTTTTCGATTCGCCCCTGCCAGCTGGCTTCACGCAAGTGCCGGCGCTGAAGTGGAGCAAAGTCTTGCGTGCCAGATGGAGTGCACAGGCACATCCTTGAAGCTTGTGAGTTCTACAAGTCGCTCAGAAGTTTTGCTAGGTGGAAGAGCTCTTGTCCCTGATGCTGCAGTGCGAAGCTCGACCTCGCCCATCGTATGTCATCTGCTGCTTGCGCTCAGGTTGGACCCCAAGCTGCGACCCCATCCGCTGGAAGCAATGGCGCCATGGCTGTACTTTCCTTTTTTTTAGACGTCGGCGCGGCCGTATCCTTGGGGCCGACGCCTGCGGGGCCATTGCGTCGGATTCGAAGACCTGGCCAGGGCTTTGATTTCTTCGGCGAGCTTCGGAAGAATCCGCCCAAGAGAGTTGCGGGCAGCCCAGCTCGGCTGGTTGGGTTCGGACTTTGTTGAAGTTGAGTCATGAACTTGGTCACAGTGGGGGGGGGGTGGGGAGGTTGCAAGGGGGTTGGGGGGGTGGTTGGGGGGGGTTGCCGGTGGTGTGTGTGTGTGTGTGTGTGTGTGTGTGTGTGTGTGTGTGTGTGTGTGTGTGTGTGTGTGTGTGTGTGTGTGTGTGTCTGTGTGTCTGTGTGTGTGTGTGTGTGTGTGTGTGTGTGTGTGTCTGTGTGTGTCTGTGTGTCTGTGTGTCTGTGTGTCTGTGTGTCTGTGTGTCTGTGTGTCTGTGTGTCTGTGTGTCTGTGTGTCTGTGTGTCTGTGTGTCTGTGTGTCTGTGTGTCTGTGTGTCTGTGTGTCTGTGTGTCTGTGTGTCTGTGTGTCTGTGTGTCTGTGTGTCTGTGTGTCTGTGTGTCTGTGTGTCTGTGTGTCTGTGTGTCTGTGTGTCTGTGTGTCTGTGTGTCTGTGTGTCTGTGTGTCTGTGTGTCTGTGTGTCTGTGTGTCTGTGTGTCTGTGTGTCTGTGTGTCTGTGTGTGTGTGTGTGTGTCTGTGTGTGTGTGTGTTTTCACAGTGGTTTGGGAATGGCCATAGCGCATGTGCGATGGCACAGGCTGCCGACTTCTTCAACTTCACTGATCAGGCAATGCAACCAGATGTCATTTGGGTGTGGGTCAAAATTAACTCACCAGGGGACCACGTGTTTTAGTCCTTGGTTCCATTTACCAGGGCAACCCATTTTGGGTACTTATTTTTGACCCACAGCCATTTCAAGTCCGGCTGCATTCGACAGGAGAGGTCCAGCTGCAGCCCGGAAGTTCTGAGGAAGTTGCTGCCGGAGTGCGGGCCCAAGCCTTGAAAGATCTCATTTTGGGCATAATTTCCCATAGGGCGGTTTCCATTCGGTGTAAAGGGCATGCCAGCTTGGCAGCGGTCATTCTTTTCATTCTCATGAAATGACAGGACTAGGGTCTCGACCGCTGGCTTCTGACTTGGAAAGGAGCTTTGTGCTAAGCTTTGGACCAGATTGGTCAAGTAATCAACCTGCAAGTGCCATCCATGATGGCAGGCTAATGGCTTGGGTGTCGCAGCATGAATCAAGTGGTGCGACACGCGTGAAGTGCCTGGATTAGGGCGCTTGGACATACTTATTGCCGCAAAAGGACGCTTCTGACAGGTTGCAAGGTGGCATTTGCCCTTGCCCAGTGTTTGCTAGATCGTATCCACCGACTGGTTGCTCATGATGAGCAGCGGCATGTATACACCATCACAGTAAAGGGGGCAACACAAGGCGCAGTGGGCAGGAAATGAGGGTAGCGTCAGTTGGGGAGAGCAATTTTGACCGTGGTTCATATTAAGTTCATATCCCATGGTTCGATGTTGCTGCAGCCTCTGGAGTTATTCTCAAGGGAACAGCGCGCCTCAGTAGGGCAGTGCGGCCCTTAGCACCTTGCAGTGCTGAAAGGCATTTGGGCTTGGAGCTGCTCTCAGGCCATGGGTAAGGATTACTACGGGGTTCTTGGAGTCGGCAAAGATGCCGGCCAGGTCAGACTGCCGCACAGGATGCAACGCTTATTGGTCTGCCCTGGCAGGACGAGATCAAGAAAGCGTACCCCTCACGCAATGGCCTTGTGAACTTGTCACGAGCGTTTGAGAGATGGGGTGGCAGAACAAGATACCTTTGGTTCATGTCAAAACGACACCATAGCAGCCATTTGGAGATTGGTTTTGCCACAATCCGATCTAATTGTTCGGAGGTACCGGCGAGCTGCTCTGAAGTGGCATCCTGATAAGAATCAGGCCCCATTGGTCCAAAGGATGGAGTAGATGGAGCATCCGCTGTCCAATTGATCCATTTCCAGACTTCGCCCCCGATTTGGTGTGGCACCTTGCTGTTACGTGTGGTGCCTCAGCGCGCGTGTCACTGATGGATTGCATGACTTACTTGTCAGCCTCGTGAGATGCATATTCCAGCACTGCCAGCCTCTTTGTTTCGGGAGGTGAGAGAAGATGGGAGTTGAAGCTGGGGACCCTTTGGTGGAGAACATCACTTTCAGGGGATTTATGTCGTTTCCCTATGATTTTGATGGTGTTCCGCAGACATGTTGCAGTTCTGCTCTGGCCAGGAGAACAGAGCAGAGGCCGAAGAGAAGTTCAAAGACATCGCGGAGGCAGAGGGAACAGGGGAACAGCTTGTTGTGAGCCTCCACAACAGTGTTGGTGGACTCAAATCCCCATGTAAATGATGCGCCGAAGGGTCCCGAATTATATATTTTACCTATTTTATTATCCCTTCAGGCTAATCTTGGGCTCAGTTCTCATGGTGCAGCGACGTCTACCAGTCATGTTAGAGAGGAGCAACACCAAGACTCAGGATGCTTGATGCACACCAGCTCACAATACGTTTACATGAATGTTCAAGTGAATCTGCGATCCAAAAACCACGCCCCGGCTGCCTGTTCCCTGTTTGCTTCAGCCATCATGTTGAGATGCTATGCGGGAGCAAGGGGTGTTTTGGACATGCTCCTTTGACCAAGAGTCGCATGCTCCTAACATGTTGCTGCACGACCCACAATTTCTGCGCGCAAGGCCTATGATGTCCTGAGTGATCCAGAGAAGAAGTCGGGGCCTTTGCTTGGTTCTCCGCCAAAGAGACTCTCTGGGTCCTAACATCAGTTTTAGGATTGCCACAGTCTTCCTTTGGCTTCCTTTGTAACATCAAACAACCACTCGCTCATGTTGGAAAGTGTGGCAAAGAGCTGTGACCATTGGCACCACTCCACTCTTCGCCATCCTTTCCCATTTCATTTTTGGCGCACTGACTCACCTCATCTTGCCCTCGGGTTCTCGTTTGCCCCGTCGAAACCGGCAGGAATGGAGATGGACGGTGAGCAAGGCAGTTTTCGACAGAAAAGAAACGCCTCCCCCCCCAAAACAAAAAACAAAACGAGGAAAACAAACAAAAACAAAAACGAGAAGACCAGTTTTGAGGTAGTGTCAACCATCCAAAGAGCAATCCATGGACACCAGCCACCTCTGCAAGGACCATCTATGACCGCTATGGCGAAGAGGGCCTGAAAGGTGGCGCTCCAGGGCCTTTGGCTCGGGGGGGGGGGGGTTGGCTACTTGAGCCTCCGGTGTTTGCGCATCTTTGGCCCATTGCCAACCTAGGGCAGGAATTCGGATGGGGAAAATCAGCAGGAACCTCCAAAGCAGCCAAGTCATGTTGAGAAGCATGCGAGTTGTGGTCCGATTGCTGCCTGCCGGCATCGGTTGTGTTGGCCTCTCACTATCCAAGGAAAAGTTGCGCTTTGCAGAAGAACTTGACGCTCTGTGAAGGGTTTTTAAATATCCTGGCCCAAGACCAACAAACCAAGCAGAAGACACGGGGAAAAGTGCAGAACTCATGCGGAAGTTGCGGGGAAGATGAATGCATCCAGGCAGCTCTTCCCCAACAAACCCCATCCGGTGACATCAGCCGAACTACATTCGAGTTCTGAGGGCAAAAACCATGAATGACGCCAGCAACAGCTTGTGTTCACAATGCCTTTGGACGCAGAAGAGCGCCGAAGTCTCGCGCAAGAGCAATTTCATGAACCTTTGTCGTGAACAGGCGCCTGGGAATGTGTCAAAACTGGTGACTCCTGTCATGTTGGTGTCCTGTTATCACAACCGAAAAGGTGCTTCTGGTTGTGACCCCTGCATGTGTGGTCTCCTTCCGACCTGGAGCTTTTGCTTTGGGTTGCCATTGCGGAAGCTCCAAAGTTCCTGATATGCTGGCAGCCACACCCTAGGTCCGGAGGACACGCGGGGGAAGAAGGGGTGCCGCCCGGCGGATTTCACTACCAGTTCTCTGGGGAGACTCTACCGCATTTGGTGCATGGGTTCGGCTGCTGGAGTGCCACTGTGCCGCTGTGCCCGAGGATCCAAACGACATCTTCTCGAGATTCTTCAAGGAGCATCGCCAAATCGCTCTGAGACAGCATTGCACAGAACCTAAGTCAGGTGCTTCAGGTGGAAGTGGAGCAGACTATGCACATGCCCGAGTTTGCATGTAAGCCACGCTGAAGTTTGCATGCCCCATGAGTCACGGCACAGGACTCGTTCCAGCGCTCATCCTCTTTCGGTGACACTCCGTTCGAGGCGCCACTTTTTGTCTCGGCTGCTTGCGTGGAGGGCCGATGCCCAGGATATGTTCGGAATGTTCGGGCAAGGCGCGTGCGAGCCGTCGCGACCGTTCTTTTGCTCGGTCAATATTTACTGGCATCATTTGTAGGAAAGGGGCTGACCTTTCGCAAACACGAACATATTGTCAGGAAATGGGGGGCCAAAGTCCAACTTGCCAATGCGATTGGGGGACAATGAATATTGACTGTGGCATGTGGCAACCATTTGGGTGTGTCGTGTTTTTTGAGGGTCTAAGTAAGCCTTTGTGGCTTAGGGGAGAACCAAAAAGGACCGCCATGGAGTCGTCCCCTACGAAAAGACGTCACCATCTGCCATTTCGCTGGCAGGAGGTATGGGCGGCATGGGCGGCATGGGCAGCGGCATGCGCATGGGCGGCATGGGCATGGGCGGATCTCAGGCCTCCAGGCGACTCTGCGCGGCGGCGCTTTTTTATTTTATTTTTCCGGCGCAGTGCCGGGGGGCGTTTTGAGCGGGTCCGAAATGGCGGTGGTGGTCAAAACCGTTTTGGTATGCCATTTTGGTGGGTAGGTGAATTCACCACCCATTTTAGAACCTATTTTAGTGGGGATTGGGATGTTCACTGGGGGCACGGCATTTTGACCCAATTTTGGGGTGCACCACCAAGGTTAGTCTTTTTGGTGGGGATTGGGATGTTCACTGGGGGAACGATTTGGATTTTGACCCATGGCCAAATGGCTGTGGGTCAAAAGATGTATCAAAATGGCACCCTGGTAAATGGAACCAAAGATTAAAACCTGCGTGACCCTAGCTCCAAATGGATTCCAATCGCTTGGACACGACGATGATATGGGTCAGTCATATGAGCATCCTAAAGAAACCCATGTGCTAGAACCCATGGGTCACCCAACTGGGAAGTGAAAGGCCTGCTGTCTTCGACCTGCAGTGCTCGCTAGAGGCCCGCCATGGCATCAGTTTGCTGGGAATGCGAATCAGCCTTGCAAGGACTTATATAATGGTGCGACCAAGAAGATGAAGGCCAGGTGCATTCCTTTCCCATATGGCCGTGGGTCAAAACCAATGGTATTCCATTTTAGGGGTAGGTGCGTAGGTGCACCACCCATTTTAGTCTATTTTAGTGGTTGGATTGGGATGTTCACTGAGGGTACGATTTGGCTTTTGACCCATGGCATGGGTTCCCGGACCTGGAAACTGCCAGGTGAAGAGATCATCGGCCTCTCTCAGTCGTGATGCAGAGGCACCGCGAGAGACGCCCGAATCCAGCGCGCTAGACACTTCCCGACGAAACCCCAGGCTGTCCTGGAGGTGACGATCAAGCCGGGCTGGAAGGCAGGCACGAAGGCAGGGTCGCTCGAAACTCAAAGCTGCATTCAGCCGATCCGCAGAAGTTTTTCAGGTCACCTTCCCAGGGGAGGGTGACGAGATCGGCAGCTCAGGCAAGGCACAGGACATGCGCCGTGTGAGTTTCTGAATGCTCGGAGTTGTTGAGAAGTCGACTCCGCAGGATGTCGTTTTTGTCATCAGAGAGAAGCGGCATCCCGTCTTCACCAGAGAGGCGGATGGATCGAATGCCATGTTGTTTTAGTTTGCGCCCTTCGGACGGAGAACAAAACAAGCTGCCGCACTGGCCTCTCGCCAACTGCAAATCGCCGCCGCACGAAACGTGGGAAATGGCCCGCCTAGACAGGAAGAACGGCCCCACAGTCGTGGTTGTGCATGGTGCGACCAAAACTGAGAAGACAGAGGCACTCGTCAGAAAAAAAGGTCGAACCCGGGCGCCTCACTTTGTAGATATTTCATTCAAGCGCAAGATGCCGGGGGCTTCGTGGCCTGGATTCTCCCAGGGCTCCAACCTTCTGCATCATCGGCAGATTCCTCTGGTGGACGCACTCACAGGCTTCAAGGCAGGCTCAACAATTGTTGCGCAAGGGGAATGTGGTTTACTTTCCAGATTGACGTGAAGATGCTAGACAGCTCCGAGCGAATTCTTCGCGTCAATGTTCGAGACATGGTCCCTTCCCCGGTCCGTCGAAATGCTGCATATGCAAGAACCTGCGTGTTGGTGCTCAAGCGCTCAGGTCAGCCCCAATTACACGAAGGTTGTGAAGGGCGAGGGGATGCCATCAACCAGAGAAAAAGGTGTCAAGGCAGTTGTGCAGAGCCCGTCTAGTTCAAAGAAAGAATATATACATACATATATATATATATATACATACATACAAATATATATATATATATATATATGTGTGTGCGTGCGGGTGTCGCTGTGCAGGGTGACCTCATTATCACCTTCGACATTGTATATCCGAAGTCCTTGAGTGAGGAGCAGAAGGCGCTCGCATGTACAGTCCATCAAGCCTGCCCGTGATCTCAATCGCTGCGAGGAGAAGATCAAGGCAGTCCTGCCTCGATAGGAGGCGTGGAGGCTCTGCCTGCGAGAATGCTCTTGGCTTTTGCGAGGCTTGGCTTCATGCTTTTCGCCGGGTGAGTGAGACGCTGGGATATAGCGCATGCGCTGCCCCCATATCTTTGCTTATCCCATTTAAATCCAGAAGTCCAAGACTTCCTGAAGTCCAGCAATCAAGTGGGCCGCCTTATTGTGTACAGGCTGCAGTCTTGAGCTGACGCTGTTTCTTGGACACGATACTTGTATCACTCCAATAAAGTCAATTCCTCAAGAATGCAGAGCGGCCCGCAGACATCAACAAACACACATCTCGTTTCATATGCGGCTGTAGTATCTGCAAGGGAAAAACAGATGCTGACCGGCTTGACTTGATTACAATCCTTGGATTTCAGCTTGAAGACTCTAAGAAATTTCCGTGTGGAGAGCGAGTGGCTCAAGCCTAGCGAAGGCTGGGCATGCGCGCCGAGAGGCCTTGGGTGAGAAGGTCACACGGTCGATGCGTGCAAAACGGATCTGCGGGAGCCATGTGGGCTCGTGTCAATGCGCAGCTTTCCCTGGAAATAGCTCATCGGATTGAGCGTTGGGCAGCTTATTCCGACTGTCCTGCAAGACGGGGGAGAGCACAACCGGATTTGTGGTTGAACAATTGGCATGTCTGGGAGAGCATCAAGCAGTTCTCAAGACTTTCGTACCATAGCTCGCTGCTTTGCGATGAGTATTCTTGCTGCTGCTCTTTCCGTGGAACACAGGCCATGCAATGAGATGCAGCGCCGGTTGCAAGCTTAGGTGGGAGTCATAACTCTGGACTTGAACATGGTCAAACTTGACTTCAGGATTTTTGCCTTCGGTGAGTGCGTTGTGCCGATCATCTTGACTTCGACTATGCTGGTCTCAGGTTCCAAAGCTTCCTGGCGGGTGGCCCCAGGACGGGGTGCACGGGCTACACGGGCTACACGGGCTACACGGGCTACACGGGCTACACGTCACGTCGCACTGCGCGCACGCCCCAAATCCCGGCGCCATTTTGAGCCCATGCTCATGGCCAGTCCGGAGTGAAGTCCTCACAAACAGTTGGCTTTCGCACATCCAAATCCGCCATTTGTCTTGTGATTTGCGCGATGTCTGGGTCGTTTTGTGGTTTCTTGTGCGGAACCGGTGAATCCCGATGTGATCAAGGCCTCACTAAGGCTAGCTTCTGCTTGTGCAGTCAGAGTGACATAGACGGGCATTTCAGCTTGCAGGATCGTGATTCCTGATTTAAAGCCTCCAAAGCAAGAGGTGCCAGATAAGGCTGGTGGACTCTGCAATTTGGTGAAACTCATGACTTAGCTGCAGGCAGAGCCACAGCTGAAGATGCCAGAAGTCAAGACTTCAGTGATAGTGTTGACTCCTCAGTTGGCGACGCAACCTCAAGTTGAGCACGCCACAAATTGAGCACGATGCTAGGTGGGAACGAGTCGATTGATAGCCGCTGGGACAGAGCAATCGAAAAAAGAAGAAGAGTACACATTGGGCAAAATGATGTAGCCCATGGTTTGAATCTACGTTTGCGGAAGAACGAACGCCTTGACTTGCTATATTTTTTTTGGCTTTGTGCTGGGAGGCGCCCAGGAAACCAAATACAAATATGGACTTTGTTTTATTGGACGATTAAACATGTTTTGACGCATCAGTAACATTATTATAGATCACTTGGTACGTACTCCATTTGCATACACATAACATAGATGATACATACATGTATATCCATATGACAAATATATGCATATATATAATATACATATATACACATATGTATAGAAAACATGGTCGTGTCAAAGCAGTATAAACTGTGTAACCTGTTTGACTGAAGTGTAGGACCTGTCAGTGACAGCACAACACAGTTAAGTGTACGACTCTGGGCAGTGTCCAATCTATTGTAGGCTCAAGGCCTTAATATGTTGCAGGCCCATGATCTGCAGCGCAGCCCCCATTGTAGCATGGAGTCTGCGTGTAGCCGTGGCTGCCTCCAACCTGTTGAGGTCCAGAACAGCGTTCCCAGCCCAAAGCCGTGAGTCTAACCGTATCGACGGTACAAGTCAAAGATGGAACCTGTGATCTTGTACATCTTGTGCTGGTTGTGCGCTCATCACATGTCGGCATGCAGGAAATGTTCGCATGAAGCTCTCCAAGTGTACCGTGTTGTAAAAATCCAGCCATGCAGCCGCGCCGTGCCAGCTCAAAAAAATGTGTTTCATGGATCTCCTTTGGCGAAGCTGTGCGTACCATTCCTCTGCTCAGGCATTGAAGAAGCGAACCTTAAGAATCCAAAGATCTGCACTGGTCCTTCAGAACGATCCTCTAAAGAGGTCTTGCGCAGAACCTGCAAATATTTCCTTTCAAGAGGTCTTGTAGAGCATGCTCCCTACACGTAGAGGGTCCTTTGAAGCATTTCTGCACGAATCTTGCCGGGAGATCCGATCAAGAGGTCCTACCAAGAGATCTTGTGCAGAGATCCTGTAAAGATCCTCCCACAAGTGTCTTGCGCCGGTCGGGGTCTTGCGAAGGACCTGCAAAAAATCCTTGTGAGCGACCTTGTAGCGTAGATCTTGAACAGAACGCTTGTGGAGGGGATATATCCTATAAAGAGATACTACCCAGAGATCTTGAGCAGAGATCCTGCAAAGATCCCCCACAGATATCTCAGATCTTGCGCGGGACCTGCAAACATGTCATGCCGAGAGATCTCGTTGAGGATTCTCTCCGGATCCTGGAGAGCGAACTTCTAGAGGGATCCTAACAGATCGTGCCGAGAGATCCGACCCAGAGATCTTCCAAAGATCCTTCCACCGAAATCTTGTCCTGGACTTTCTACATGAAGAGAAGTAGTACTTCTTTCAGAGAAATCTTGCGCGGAACCGCTGCTGCGGCTACTTTCATGTTACCAGAGTGGGTTCCTGGCTCACACCGCTCTGTAGTCATGTTCTACCACCTTGGGGTCGCTTGGCACGAACATACTGACCGTCAAAAATGGCAGTATATCCTTGGCACCAGGAAATTGATCAACTTGAGCAGGATCCAATTGCGTAGGAGGCTTGAACCAAGATTTGGCCGCTTGCCAGGTAGTTTGTCGCTGAGAAAGGTCTTGAAACGGGGTCCGCTCAGTTTGTGTAGCAGATGAATCCGAAAACACAGCATCCTGGTTCCGTGTCAATTGGATGCTGCACTTTTAAGAAAACGTATTTTTTGAGGACATCCCCGTTGGTTGGCTTTGCTCGCAGTGCACCGCTCTCCTTGTTGGCAAGCCAAAAGAAAAACCATCGCCAATTTGGTGGGCGCCAGCCCGCCTCGGCCCGGGAGTGAGAGATGTGCTGCGGGTTCCCCCCCGCTTTGTTGCCACTCAACGGAGACGTGACGCGAAGAAGCGATGCTTTTGGAGCGTGCAAGTTCGCGTGCGCTATGCCGATGCGCTTTTACAGCAGTGAAAGCGTGATGCTGGCAATGCAGACTGGCGATGCAGGTGAATGCCAAAACAGCCGAGTTTTTCCAAACTGGCTGCTTTACACGCCCCACAACAATGAACACGTGATGCTGGCGATGCAGCAATGTGAATACTCGATGCTGGTGATGCAGACTGGTAATGCTGGCAATGACTGCCCTCGAGCCAAGCATCACCAGCCCCCAAGACACACCAAACTAGAGTGGAATGCTGCCAATGTAGAGTTTTGTGCAATGCATTACACGGCCAAAAGAACAGGCGATGCAGACTGGTGATGCTGGCGATGCTGCCGATGTACAGCTTCTTGAAAACCGAGCTTGTGCAGAGTTTGTCAGAACAGCTTCTAGGGCTATTTTACATGCCCAAAAGAGCAACAATGCGAACATGTGATGCTGGCGGATGCAGACTAGCTTTCCCAAGTATGAATGCGTGGCTGGCGGTGCAGATGATGCTGACAATGCCCTCAAACCAAGTACAAACTCACCAGCGCAGGCTGGAAAAATGCGAACTAGTGATTCCAAGTGCACCGTCCCACCACTAAGCTATAGTGCAAGCCCCAAACTCCCATCCATAAGCTCCAAAACAGCCCGAGCTTGCGAGCACACGCTCTCAAGTCAACGATTCAAAAAACTCACCGAGCTCAAATACCAACTCGTACTTCTTATGCTGCACTTACCTCTCGGTCGCTTTGCTCCAGTGCCTCAGGCCCAAGGGCCCCGGATTTAGGCACACATGATGGTTGAGTCTCGAAATGGTTCTGGGTGCTTCACTGCGAATGTAAGGATTTCTTGGGGTGAGAAGTGAAAACAACTCCAAGCAAAGTCCAGATTCTTGAGCAAGGGTGTGTTTGCCGCAGGTCTGCTTGGGAGATCAGTTCATTCCCTTTGTAGCATCGTCGAAGGTTGATGTTGATGGACGTTTCCGACTTTGGAGGGTGTCTAAAAGGAAGGAAGCTCTTTGTCCCCTGAAGGGTGGATTTTGCATGTTTTGTTACAGCTTGAACTTGCAGTTGGATTGAAGATGACTGCAGCTATTTCCAGCAGCATCTTCTCCGAAGGAGACTTGGTGTAGAGTCCTGGACTTCTATTGGGTTCTCAACAAGCAGAATGAAGCTAGCTGAAAGTTTGCAAAGTCAAACCGCACGACACTAGAATATGCCCCTGGTGGGCTGAAAGCAGACTAGTGACTAGGGTGTAGATGTTCGTAGCTCACAGGTCAAAGGAAAGCGTCGCAATGCACAGTGGCGTGGCATGGGAGTGTCCTTCGGTGCCAGAGTCACCAGAAGGGGCTTCCAGCCTGGAAGTCCCTGCAAGCGTTGCAGTGCCTATCAATATGCCAGCACTGCCTGGCAGCATTAGGTCTGCGGCCAGCGATGCAGTTGGCAAAGCTCGCACCATCGTGCTAGAAAACGACCTGCCAACCGCAGTTGCCGTATATTTCAGCCAAAGTTCCAGAGTGCTGTACCCCAAGGAAAGCCACAAGTTTTCCAGCACCTTGTCTCCTGACTCCGTGGTGCGGGTTTGTCTACGCGACAATCCCGCGATCTCCGGCAGCTGCCAAGTCATCCGCGCCGTGACGCTCCGTGCGTCGAAGTCTTTTGGGTCCTTTGGCGGCGAGGCTCAGCACTTCCTTCAGCAGGAGACCCTGGAGGTTTCGAGAGAGCAGCGCCTGCTGCAGAGTCGGAAGAAGCGGATGGAAGAAGTGGAACACGAAATCACCATCCAAAGACGCTGGCACCGGCTTTGCTACTTTCCAC